TCTCTCATACTTGGGACATATTGTCAGGAGGGACTAGTCACTGGAGAAGGATATCATGTTTGGTAAGGTGGAGGGTTAGAGAAAAAGAGGAAGACCCCCAGTGAGATGGATTGGCAAAATGGCAGTATCAGTGGGCTCAAGCATGGCAACAACAGTGAGATTGGCCCAGGATCAGGCAGTGTTTCGTTCTGTTGTGCATAAGGTTGTTCTAAGTCTGTACTGACTCGATGGCACCTAACAACAACAACAACAATCATGAGCTTACACTCCAAAGTTTCTAGTTTATACCACTCCAGTCCAGCCTCTGCCCTCAACACCATATTCATATGTCCTACCTGACACCCCAGCTGAATGTCTAAAAATTGATATAACTAAAATTGACCTGATTTTCCTCCTCAAACCCATTCCTCCATTTCCCATCTCAGCCAATGGCAACTCTATGCTTCCAGCTGCTCTCACTCCAAACCCTGGGTCATCCTTGACTCCTTTCTTTCATTCACTCATTCTTCCTCTTTGTGTGCCAGGCTGGTCTCATCCCTTGTCCAGGGGTGAGCCTTGGATGGCTTAAGTGAATTAGCACATCCATTTCCCTGGCCACAGACCAATCAGGGTGAATCTCAAGAGTCTTGGGAAGATGGGAGAAAGATGCCCTTTCTCATAGTGGATGAGATACAGATGTACCTCATAGTGGATGAGATACAGATGTACCACCCCAATCTTACTAAACAGCCATCCTTCACATGGGAGGGAACCGTCAACAACAGAGCATGGAAACAGAAAGTAAGTGCTGGACCGACAAAGCCTGAAGCCCTCCCACCCCCCACACCTCTGGACTGTCCAAATATGAGAGCCGATACATTTTCTTGTTGCTTAAGCCAATCTGAGGTCCCTGGGTGACACAAATGGTTTGCACTTGCCTACCAACTGAAAGGGAACGCGGTGACTCTGTATAATAAACACTGGGCTGGAACCCACAAGGTTCACAGTTAGAGCCTATCAGTCGCTATGCAGGAGAGAAATAAGGCTTTCTGCTTCTGCAAAGATTTATAGCCTCAGAAATCCTACACAGGGTCACTATGAGTCAGAATTGACTCCACAGTGCTTAACAACAACAACAACAACAACAACAGCCACCAACCGAAGAGGTTGGTGATTTGAACCCACCTAGCATAACTATCCTGGTGTGGTGCTGTGGGTTAATGCGCCAGACTACAGTCATTTGAATTGCAAAGTTGGTTTAAGCTCACCAGCTGCTCCTCGGAGTCCCTATACAGGGTCACTATGGGTCGAAACTGACTTGATGGCACTTAACACCAACAAGAAGCATAACTATGGTAGGTGATCTACTTCCATAAAGATTAAACCCAGGAAAAATAAACCCACTTCCACTGAGTCCTAGCCCCCACTACAGGACAGAGAAGGACTGTTCCTTAAGGTTTCTGAGACTGTAAAACTTCATGGGAATAGACCATCTCATCTTTCTCCCAAGGATTGGCTGGTGGGTTTGAACCACCGACTCTGTGGTTAGCAGCTCAATGCATAATGCATTGCTTTACCAGAGCTCCGTAAAGATTGCTGTTGTTATGAAGTGCCATCAAGTCGGTTTTGACTCACAGTGATGATCCTGAATAGGGTTTCTTAGGATCGGCTCATGCGTTTGAACTGCTGACCTTGCAATTCAAATCAACCTTGCATTTCTGTGCTTTTTCCTACAGCACCACACCAGGACTCCCCATAAAGACTGTTTTTAAGTGCCAATGAGTCAGCTCTGACTCATAGCAACGCTGTGCAGGGTTTCTGGAGAGCAGCCGGTGGGTTTGAACCACCCCACTAGTCTTGTCGTTTGCAGTCCAGTGCTGATCCTACAGCACCACACCAGACTCCCTTTAAAGATTGTTGTTGTTGTTAAGTGCCGTTGAGTCAATGCTGACCCATAGCAACCTTGCATAGCGTTTCCAAAGAGCGACTGGTGAGCTTGAACCGCCGACCTTGTGGTTTAAGACGATTTTGCAATCTAGTGCATTAGCCCACAACACCACACCAGGACTCCCTTTAAAGATTGTTGTTGTTGTTTGTTGTTAAGTGCCATCGAGTCGGTTCCGACCCATAGCGACCCTGTACAGGGTTTCCGAGGGTGTAAATCTTTACGGGAGTAGAAAGCCTCATCTTTCTCCCGCAGAGCGGCTGGCAGTTTCAAACCACTGACCTTAAGGTTCGCAGCCCGATTTGTAACCACTACGCTTTAAAGATTAGAGCAAAGAAAATCCTGTGGAACTCAGTTCTACCCTGCTACACATGGGTCGCCATGAGTATCAGATGAGTTTTAAGCCAATTTGACTTGGTATTTTGAGTTCATGCAAAGGAAAGCCTTCTAAATAATATACATCATCCTTGGAGCAAGTCTGTATGTGTTGATGAACTTGCATCTCCTTTGGTGAAATACTGACTGAATGAGAGGCATTGTCAGTTTGTCATGTTTTAATACCTCTGTACCTTTGCCTGTGCTGTTACTACTCTTTAGCTGTGCTCTTCCCACCATGTCCTCTTAGCAAATCCCAAGCCTGCAAAAATGTCCCTTGTCCTTTTGTCTTTTAGGATATTGTTTTGATGTGATTTAATTTCAAATACCTTGACCCTAGTGGCTTCATTCATTATTTCAGTAATCAAATGCTAGTTCAAAAACATGAATTTTCTTTCATACTACATGTAAGGCATGTGCCAGGTGCACACAACTTGCAGCCCCCTTGAGGAGAAGATATACAAAGAAGTAAGCAAGTCATTGCAATATGAGGAGATAAGTGTTAAAATGGGGAGGATCTTTGGGGGAACGGGAATGTAGTGGGGTAGCCCCCACTCCAGTCTTAAGGAAGTATGGGTATTGAAGATGAGGGAAGGTTTCCTGGAAGAAGTGATGTTTACATAGAGATTTAAGAAGCAGTGGAGTCCTGGTGTGGCATTGTGGGCTAATGTGTCAGACCGCAAAGTTGTTTAAACTGCAAGGTTGGTGGTTCAAGCTTACCAGCTGCTCCTTGGAAAACCTCTACAGGGTCGTTATGGGTCAGAATCGACTTGATGGCACTTAACAACAACAAAGAGTTCAATAGACAAGAAGACAAGGGGAAAGAACCTTCTAGGAAGAATGCTTTAGAAAGCCCAGCAATGTACAAGAGCAAACCAATAATGTGGTGAGAGACGACGTGGAATTCTAAGTGAAAATCAGATCCAGAGAGATCTCACAAGGTTCACTAAAGAATGTGGATTCTGTCCTGTGGGTCACAGAGAGGACATCTAGAAAGCACATGTGTGCTTTAGAAAGATCAAAGAGGATGCTGGGAACTAACTGGGAGGCGGGAGATCCCTTAGGAAGCCTGGTATCTGCAGTCTTCGTTTCCTTATATGTGATCTCTGCTGAGATGTCTGATTAGGAGCAGGCATAGAACTTAAAAGATGAAAGAAAAAATGGCAAGCGTTGGAAGCTAGGCCTGCCTGGCGATGTGCTTTTGAAAAGCCACAGACTCGGAAATCCTTGAATCAGCTCAACTCTGTACATGTGGGGTCCACCATGAGCCCGAATCAACTTGAAAACACTACAGACAACTCACACTACTATCCTGATAGAAACGCTATCCCTATTCCCAGGGATAATCCAGGTGAGCCAAGATTTACCACACGTAGAGTTATTACCACAACTGAAAAAACACCAACATTGTCCAACTCTTCCTCACTGTCAGAGTAAACATTTAGGATTAGTGTATTTTCTGTGTATGTATATATGCATATAAAATATATGAGGGAATTTCAACAAATTCATAAAAAAAGGAATGGGAAGATTCCACTAACTTTTTGAAGACCCTTTGTATTTGTAAGTTTATATATAATGTTTCCAACCACCAAAGACTTATACAGATCAGAACCAATAATAACAGAACCTAAAAAAAAAAAAAAAAAAAGAAATGAGGTATTCGACTTACATTCAAATCAACTTACTACAGAGTCGTCTGAATGGAGCCCTGTCGTAAATCAAGGCCTGCCTGTATAACAAAATTCAGCAGTCATTTGTGGTTCTCAGACCAACTCTGAATTTTGGATTTTTAATCACCTTATCCAAAAGTTTTGTTGAAAATAACAGACATAGATGACAAAAGAAAATAATATATTGCTTCAACCACTAAATTTTATTAGCAGAAAGATTCAGTGGCCACACGTCTGCAGGCTCCTAACATGGAGTGAGAGTCAGCAGAACATCCTCCCTCACGGTTTCTTGACTACAGAAGTTGAACCTGTAGAGAGAAAAGTCACAAACACGTCACATTTTACGGGCACATATCTGGTGTGTTGAATCTGAGCGTGTAACATCTGCTCTCTCCCTCAGTCTGAGTGAGAGGCATAAGGTGTGTCTAAGATGCAGACGTTGGCTGTGGGAAGAAGACCTCTTCTATAGACATGACTGGGTCTTCCTCCCATTCTCTGTCATGGCTGCGCAATACCAAAGAGAAGTTGTCAATGACTTCCAAGACAGGACAGACCAAAGGTCAGAGAGTGCTCTTTCCTATGCCCTGGTAGCGTAGTGGTTACGACTCAGGCTGAGAACCTTAAAGTCAGCAGTTCGAAACTACCAGCCGCTCCGCGGGAGAAAGATGAGGCTTTCTACTCACGTAAAGATTTACACCCTCGGAAACCCTGTACAGGGTCGCTATGGGTCAGAACCGACTCGACGGCACTTAACAACAACAACAAAGTCATCCCCAGAACACTTGGCACACTGTCAACTAACACAAATGAGCAACATGACAAGAACTCAGCCCCCACTAAACAAGTCTGAGTTTTGTTCTCCTAATCCTGACGGTACAGTGGCTACTCAAACTACCAATTAGAGACAAGCCATTGCAGTGTGAAGAGTCCCTGGGTGGTGCAAACAATTAAGCACTTGACTACTAGCTGAAAGGTGTGGTGGTTCGAACCCACCTAGAGTTGTCTCAGAAGTCAGGCATGGAGGAGACCTGCTTCGGAAAGTTCACAGCCTTGAAAAGTCTGTGGAGCAGTTCGACTCTTCCCTTGCTGGTGGCCATGAGTTAGAATCTACTCGAAGGCCACTAACAACAAATATTCTGGTGTCTATTGGTTTATTCCCCCCCTGTGTCTTTGTTCTCTTTTTCCTCATTGTGGATGAATTAATCATTTTTTATGATTGCATTTTGTTTCCTTTATTGGCTTATTAACTATATTTCTTTATTTTGACATTTTAGCGTCTGCTTTACAGTTTATAGTGTATGCACATTTTACTTTCAAGTGGTATTATACCAATTCCTGGTGTGGTGCTGTGGGATAAAACACCGCACCACAAGGTCAGTGTGAACCACGATGTCGGCAGTTCAAACTCACCAGCTGTTCCTCAGAAACCCTATACAGGGTCCATATGAGTCGGAACTGATTCATGGCACTAAACAGCAACAATATGAAAAACTTCTGCAGCGTATTTGTATTTGTCCTCTTCTGGTACGGTGCTGTGGTTGAATGCGCTGGACTGCAAGGTCGGTTTGAACTTCAAGGTCAGTGGTTCAAGCTCACCAGCCACTCCTTGAAAACCCTGTACAGGGTTTCTGTGAGTTGGAGCTGATTTGACGGCATTTAACAACAACAACAAAAGCCCTTTGTTATAATGATCCTTGGTGGTGTAGTGGTCACACTCACGGTTGCCAATGCAATGGCTGGCAGCTGGAATCCACCAGCTGTTCTGTTGTTGTTATGTGCTGTGGAGTCGGTTCCGACTCATAGTGACCCTGTACAGGGTTTCTGAGGCCGTAAACCTTTACGGGAGCAGAAAGACTCATCTTTCTCTCACAGAATAGCTGGTAGTTTCGAGCTGGTAATCGTGTGGTTCGCAGTCCGGTTCATAACCACTATGCTACCAGAGCTCCTTTTGGAAACCCTAGGACACCCTAAAACTACCCTGGGAGCAATTTTATTCTGTACAGTCCTAGTGTGGCACTGTAGGATACCCACTGGACTTCTGACTACTAGGTCAGCAGTTCAAACCCAACAGCCATTCTTTGGAAATCCTATACAACAAGGTCACTATTGTACTTTTATCTCTGTTCTTCAGCAGATAATATATTTTTTTCCTGGTGCATTTAAGAGTTTCTCTTTATAGGTAATTTTTAGCAATCTGATTCTGATGTGTATTGGTGTTGTTATCTTTTATCTGTGGGTATTTACGTTTCATCAAGTTTGAAAAATTTAGGTCATTACTTCTTAAAATAAGTTTTCCTGTTTCTTCTCCTCTGGGGACACCAATTGCAAGTATTTCAAGCTGCTTAAAGTTGTCCCACAGTCCACTGATGTTCTTTTCATTTTAAAAATTCTTTTTTTTCCCCCTGTGCTTTATTTTGGACAATTCCTATTTTTATGTCTTCAAGTTCACTAGTTTTTCTTCTGCAAGGCTCAATATCCTGTGAATTGCATTCAGTGCATTTTGGTTTTTTTCCATCTCAGGCATTATAGTTTTAATCTCTAGATGTACCATTTGGGTCTCTTTTTTATATCTTCTAGGTCTCTACTGACCTTTATGGACAAATGTAATACAGGTAGAACAATTATCTGCTATTCTAGCATCTATGTCAGTTCTGGTTTGATTTCACAATTGAGTATTCTTCTCATTATAGGTTTTGTTGTCCTGGTTCTTTGCATACCAGAGAATCTTTGATTGAATATCAGATCTTGTGAATTTCACCTTGTTGCCTGCTGGGTAATTTTGTATTCTTATACATCTTGAGCTTTGTTCTCACATGCAATTATATGTAGACAGTTCGATCCTTTCAGGTCTTTCTCAATGTAGATTAATTATACATTGCTATCGGATAAGCACTGGACTGGTAACCACAGGGTAGGGGTTTGAGCCCACTAGCCACTTCTCAGAAACCTTATACAGGGTTGCTATGAGTCAGAACTGACTTGACAGCACTTGACAACAACAACAACTGAGGCAAGACCTTCCTAAACACTTTACGTAGTGCCCCTTGAATGATGCATTTGGACACTCTGCTTGCTCCAGCAAGAGTGCTGCGCCCTGCTCCCATGAATCCTTCCAGCTAAATATCTCACTGGCTTTGAGCAATTTGCTCACATATTTGTGCAGATACATAGTCTGCTGAACATTCATAGGGGGTTTCTGGGGTTCTCCTTGTACAGTTTTCTCTTCTCTGGTCCTCTGTCCTGTAAAATCTAGTCAACCTGACCTTTCTGGATTCATAGCCCTGTCTCCTCTACTCAGTTCACTGGGTTCTGCCTGGATTTCTTTTCCCTGGGCCACATCGTAACCGTCTCAGGGCAGTCAGCTGGGGCAATTGTAAAGCTTGGCTTGTTTTGTTCTTGTCTCTCAGGGATCATTGTCCTTTTGGGCCTGATTTTCAATGTCTTGAAAACTGTTGCTTCACACATTTTGTCTGAATTTTTGGTTGTTTAGATTGGGAAGGTATATCTGGTCTTCATTGCTCTATCTTTGCAGGAAGGAAATGTCTCATCATCGGGCTTTTATGACTGAATGGCAGAAGCATTAACACTGTGTCTCAGAAGTTAGCGTAATACTGAAAATACGTGCACTGATATTGGTATTTTTTATTATTAGCATCAGTTCACTTTTCCTGGTGGTTCACCATGGTAAACACTGTTTGGTTCATACACCCCACTCTTGGTTTTCAGCTCAGGTTGATCTCCTGGACGCTGACCTCATTCAGGGGGTCAGTGATATAGAACTGTCTGTTTATATTTTTTGGAAGGTAAGTTTTTTCCTAACACTATAAGTGCTTATTTAGTGAACCCAGGAAGTTTGGGAAGACACTGGTTGGCAGTTAGTATGCATTAAGCATAAGGTGGAGCTACCACATGAAATCATTCTTTTCATGTTAGGATCATGAAGCTGTGTTCTCACTCTAATGCTTCATTTGGTCCAGATAACACAAGCTTTATTTCTAAATCTATAAAAGTTGTTTTGCTGAAGTTCTACATTTTCCCTTACTAAAGGAAGCAGTTATGACTTGAGTATTTAAAAACCACTCTAAGAGGTTTAATATAAAGTAGATTTTCATTGGGAATAAGATTATAAATGGGCTCAATACTAAAAATCCCTTGGATTTTAAATGACATATACTTACACTTTTCCATCATTTCTTTCCACCACAATCTTGGATGCCCCCACTCTAGGTAGAGTTGGGTTGATTATGTTGTTATACCAAACAAATTTAACCATCTGCAGGTCTCCAACATCCACATCTGAGTCAAATTCATTGGAATGAGTATATGTTGGTTCGAGAGAGCCCCTGGGAATTAAGAATTAACATAAACATGTAGGAATAGACATATAAATCAATATATATGTGTTTTGAGAACAGTATACTAAGATCATTGATGTTGTACCTGCCATTTTAATGCATGAAACATGAGCAGACATGTCTGCTCACTCAGTGTAGTAGCGTGTTTGATACTCATGCTTCATCTTATTTTAAAGTTCCCCTCAGTTTTGTAAAACTTGAAATATGGTTTAGTCATAATCTCTTCACAATTTCATAAATTACAATATTATAATACCATCTTTTCCCCATTGTTTGTTTCCTTATTGATTATAAATCAGATGGCAGACCTCAAAATGAAAGCTTCCATCATAGCACATCAGTGGCTTTCTCAGGAAATGACAAAGGCAAACATTTCTAAACAGAATCTGAAATATATTAAGATAAGGAAGCCTCTTCCATTACATGGAAGCACAGTATTAAATTCATTGTGTCTGAATAAGCTACAATACCAATGAAAACAGTAACATGAGAATCGGTCCAACACTTTAGAAACATAGAATAATATTTTACTCACTTGAAAATTTCATATTGCTTAGAGTTTCCTTTATTTCCAAACAAGGAAACCAGCACGTGTCCTCGAACCTTCTTTCCTGACAGTGTGACAGTTACCTTATACCTCCAACCTGCATTCAAAAACCCCATAAATGTCAGCTTTCAGAGAAGATACATTCGGGAAAGGTTAATTTGGATTTCACTATCACACAACTTTGCATAATTTATAGATGATGTTGGGAATTCTCTGTAGACTTGCTTTTATCCAGATGTTCAGGGGACTGGTATTGGCAGGGTGACAAACCTTTCCAAAGTCAACAGGTCGCTTTTTAAACCGAGACACTAAAAAACAATCCATTTTGCTCAGGAATTTTGAATATAACAGTTTATTCAAAAATATTATAAGAACTTACGTTAAAATGTTCATCAGTTAATTCATTTTCATAAATTGTCTACTTTTTAAAGACTGTCATTTTTGTCTAGATAATGTATATTTGAAATAATTTTATAATTCAGATTTCCACTGTTGTTGGAAATTTATTAACTTATGGTAACCAAAACAGTGCTCTTTGGCTGTTAGTTAATAATGAACTCTAGTTTTGTCATTTAGAGTGGCCTTACCCAAACTGCAGATGGGATCATCTTTATCTTTCATTTCTGGAATGCTTCTACCCCATTGATGCCCATCTACAGAGTTTTCTTTCTCTTATCCATTCTGTCCCCATCTCCATCTTCCAAGGAATCAGTCATCCTAAATATCTCTCCAATCTGTCGACTCCTTTTCACTCTTACAACCTCTGCCATCTGTCTCCTGCATTACTCTCCTACTCTTATTAAACTACAGCATTTTAATCATCGAAACTTGACTGAATACAAAGAGGATGGTGTGGGGGGGAAGACACCTGTATTCAGCATGAGAATCAAAGGGGAAATAATTTATTATTATTTTATAAATGATTTTATTTTTGTTTTGTTGAGAACATAAACCAGCAGAACATACACCAATTCAACAATTTCCACATATATCATCAGTGACACTGATGGCATTCTTTGAATCTTGTAACCCTCTTTTCTGATTTGTTCCTCCCCATGAACAGTTTCCTATCTAATCATTCAAGTTGCTCTTCTCTTACCAGTTGGATCCTGTATGGATTGGTCTTGAAAGACCCTGAAAGAGCAGTGCTCAAGGGAAGCAATTCATCTTTGTAACCTAGATAGTTCAGGCCCAAAGCTCTGTTCTGCCACCTAAACGAATCATAACCCTCTTAACACTCATTTGATCTTTTTTCCCCCCACCTTAGAGAGGAATTCAAACATTTGTGTAGAAAAGCAAGTTTGCACATTTTCAATAGACATGACAAAATATATAGCATTAATAATTGAAGGTAAGTAAAGTAGAAGCTTACGGGCAAAATTGCTGACATCACCAGTGTTAAGGTACAATTGCCGACCTACTTCATTGGTTTTCCCAGGAAACCTATCAGCATAATGACCCATCTGTGGGCAGCCTTCTTTCGGACAGGGGAAACACTTGTTCTGGTGAAAGGAAACAGATGATGAATGAGGATGCTCTGCTCCATCTTCTATCCACCTGCTGCTGCAATCCAGGTATTATAAAGCCAGTTATCTTGTGGTTCAAACCTACCTTGCAATTTGTAAGTAATCTCATAAATAAAGTTCTTTTCTGAGTTTTTGGTTGAAACCAAGTCGACGGCACTTAACCACAACAACAACAACAACAATAAAGGTTAAAAATTCACCTTATGAAAATGGATTATTCACAATGAAAAATCAGCAATGTCTCGGTTAAATAGCACAATACCTACAGAAACATATAAAAATAATTGTTAATGTATTTGAACCACAAAGTTGGAGGTTCAAACTCACCAGGCACTCCTTGGAAACCCTATACAGGGTTGCTATGAGTCAGAATGGACTTTACAGCACTTAAAACAACAAGAAGCACAAATATAAAACTCACACTGCAAGAATTTATATTTTCTCTCTTGCCTCTAAATTGCTCCAGGTGATCTGAAATTTCCATCTATCTGCAAGGTGGTGGGGATTTCTCCCTGAAGGTTTTCAAAGAGGTGATAAAGGGCTCCTGACATGCAATGTAGGGCCCAGTAGGTTCAGAAGTCAGGTTCTTCTCAATTCCTTTAGCTTCAACTTAGTAAATCAAAACATAAAAGGCTTGCATCCCAGAACTCTCCCAATGTGGAGAGACAATGCTCCAGTTGGCTGCAATGATTTAGCCAGGAGGTTGGAGTCTTGCATAAATGAATATGACCTAGGGGAATGTCCATTTTTTCTAGACCAGGGAATGGTGGGGAGAAGAGAAGGAGCTGGAAGAACAGAGGGTGTAAGAAAGTACCTCAGTTCCTACTACAGAGGGCCTAGGCTGCCACTACTGCACAGCCGAAGCAAGATCAATGGCCAGTTAATGCACTTGCAAGAAATTCAGGGATCTGCATTAGCAACGGAGAAAGAGCCAAAGTTCTCTGAGTACATTGCCTGAGCCAGAAGAATGGACAAAGCCCAGATTTCATCTGCAAATCCACCAGTGCTCCCATTAAGAATGTAGACAAGGACTTGGCCAGAATTTCGTAGAGCCAGATGACACTGTGCCCTTGGACTCTCAAAACGGCCCCCTCTGCCAAACACACATACTGACTACCACCACCACCACTGTCATTTTGACCAATACTAATTAACACTAGATTGAAGAAAAGATTTCAAAGGGGTTCAAAGCCTGAGAAATCTACAAGATGGATTTTTTTTTTTCCCTTATAAAAGTGACTAAGCATCACCTAAAAGGACTGTTTACATCGTTCAATCAGACTAAGTTTCAACTGGATGAGACCTAAGTCTATTTCTGTTTGTTAGTTTGTTTTCTCTGTTAACTAGAGGACAGAAAAGAAAGACTTGGGGAAAAGACAAAAATAAAGTTAGAATAAAGAAAGGGAGGAGTGCTGGTGTGGTGCAGTAAGGTAAGCATTGGACCTCAAGGACAGTTTGAACCACAAGGTTGGCAGTTCAAACTCACCACTCACTCCTTGGAAACCCTATACAAGGTCTCTATGAGTCGGAACTAACTCCATGGCACTTAATAAGAACAACACCGTAAAGTGAATAAAACATTCAACCCCCATAATAGTCAATGTTTGTAAAATACTAGTTATTATATTGTAGGCTCTGAGCTAAGCAATGAACAAATATCATCTCATTAAATCGTCCCAACAAATCCATGGAGTCATACCATTAACGATTATATGTACAAATGACAAAACTGCCTAAGAGAAGTTGAGGCTTTTGCCCAACTTCATACAGGTGTTTAATATGAAACCAGGATTCTTATTGTCTTTCTTAATCAGGAAGGTGCCATTCCTAGGTAATTAAGACACCAACTAGCACACTACTTGACATTTTTCTTATTAAATGGCATAGGTTATAAATTTTGATTTGCTAAATTTATAGTAACAAGTCAATTAAATAAACAACAGGTAATGGCTATTCCCCACCACACGTCTGTCAGTTTGTCATAGTGTGATGGCTTGCATGTTGCTGTGATTCTGAAAGCTATGTCACGAGTATTTTAAATACCATCAAAGTCACTCATGATGGACAGGTTCCAGCTGAGCTTCCAGACAGACTAGGAAGAAGGAGAGACAGACTACTTCTGAATATTTAGTCACTAGCAACCTTATGAATAGCGGTGGAACACTGGCAGTACCAGAATATTAAATATTGTGATTGTGAGGTTGGGGCAGGATCGGGCAGTGTTTCCTTCTGTTTGTGCATCAGGTTGCCATGAGTTGGTATCCACTCAATGGCACCTAAGAACAACAATAGATATGCCCTATTCAAGATCACAATTAAGGATCTAGCTATCTAGAAAACACCAAAAAAGATGAAAAGTCAAAAATATAATTTATGAGATTACTTACAAATTGCAAGGTAGATTTGAACCACAAGATAAGTAGTTCAAGCTCACCAGCTGCTCCTCGGAAACCCTATATAGGGTCGCTATGGGTTGGAACCAACTCAATGGCAGTTAACAACAATGACAACAACAATTAAATAGTTCTTAAAGGTCATCATCTGAGAAATGTTTGTTTGCATCTTCATTAGCATCCTGTAGATATAGTTCTCAGCTTTCCATAGGATGTGATTCGTTTAGAACTACTTTCAAAGCAAACTTGAAAATTTACCTGCTACTAACAGCAGTGATTGAGAACAGAGGTAGACACGTTTTACCTCATTATTAATGCATATACACAATTAAAGAGATAAGCAGTTTGGCAGTGATGTAGTAGCGTTTGTTGAATGCGTATTGGCTACAGAGAGCCCACCAGTCCTGAGACGCGATGGGTCCCATGTTCTTTGGGTGGAAGGTAGAAGGTACTTACTGCAACGAAAACATTGTAGGAGGCACAAGCGAACCCAGCAAAGCCGTTAGGGTTGAGAATACTATCCGAATAATACTTGTAGCTTCTTAAGTGATTACAAGCCACAAAGTCACGAGTTCCTTTGAAATTAGACATGATAATACATATCAATGGTATTTTAAATTTTTCCTAACTTTTCTCTAAAGTGTCAATTCACAGAAAAATTATTTATGGAGTGTGTCTATGATTTGCAATAATGCAATCATGAGTTAACAAGAACCATTTAAAATCATAATAGACCATTACCAAATGAAATGGGAGAATAACTTTAGAAGGAACAAAGTGGTCTATATAAACATCTAAGTGTAACTTAGTCAATTATATTTTATGAATAAGAACCATGGGAAGTTGAATGCAAATACGTTTTCTTTCCAATGGTCTCTTCATGTCCTCTATCTCCAATTAAAAGCCTCACAGAATCCTGGGTATCTCCGGAATACAATTAAAAGTTCTTCATTATATAAAATGTGAGATCTATACAATACCAAAATATTTAGTAATTTTGGCAAAACAAAAGAGAAACTTTTCCCTAGAAACCTCTTTATATATATAAAGGGTTTTTTTTGTTTTTGTTTTTTGTTTTTTACCTTCCCAGATTCCGTCGATGTCAACAATCTGAGAAAGAGCGTTCTTCTGACATCCAGGCATTTCTTTGCCTCCGTTTGGATAGAAATCCAGGTGGCCTGCAGTCTGGCTCATTCCAAGCCCTGAGGGATTTTTTAAAAAGTGAAAGGTTGATAGTAATGTACAAACTTAAAAATGATGAGCAGTTGACCGCTCTGGGAAGACAATGAGGAGCTCACCCATGTTGGGGACCACTGGGGCAGCATCTGTGTGGATTACATCCACAAACATGGCATCACTGGGGTCCAATCGGACCAATTCGGGTGTACCCTCAAAGCAAGGTTCAGCTGGATCCAATCCTAAAGTAAACAGGATGTGTCATGTTAATAATCATCCATGCTTATACACACTCGACTTGCCTCATTAGCTACAGATATGGAAGCAAACACTGTCTGTAATCGTGAGTTATCCATGGGAAGAGATATACTAGTGCTTCCTTACCCATTTCCATCTAGTGAATTCGGACTCCTAGAGACTTCTTAGCACAGAGTAGAACTGCCTCATAGAGTCTCCAAGGCGGTTACCTTTTGGAAACACTCCACATCTTATTCTGACTAGTAGATTGGAACCACTGGCCTTTCGGTTAGCAGCTGAGTGCTTCACTATTGTACCACTAGGACGCCTAAGTTCTTCCTGACCTTATTATTTTTTAAAGGAAATCTGCTTTTTAGTTTGCTATTTGCAAGAAAGTAACATTTTCCTAAACCCTAGAATTTGCCTCTACTCGTGGACGCTTTGGCCCTGGGAGACAATGCCCATCACAGGGATTCCCGGAGACAGTGGACTTCTAAAAAGCTGTCTAAGTTACAATAGTGCCCACTAGGCAGTAAATTCCACGAAGGCAGAGAGCACCTACAGCTACTGTGTGTGACCACAGCTCCACACAGCACCTGGCAAAGCAGGCTCGAGTAAACGTTTCAGAGTATAGCAAAGAAAGTTTTCTGCAGAACTTTCCAGCAAATGAATAAATAGAGAGACATTCCAGATGTCCACATCAATCCAAATGCAACTTGGAAACTCTATGCAGGGCCTCTATAAGGTGGATCTGACTGGATGACACCTAACAACCATAACAACAACATACATGTATGTATTTTCAAGAATCAGGAGCTCAGAGACAGAAAGAAGATGGAGTAGGAAAATGGCAGCTTCCTAAAATACTCACTTCTAAGTTTTTCTCATAAAGTTTTTCCAGGGTTGTTTTTAGACTTGGATATCCAACAGGTGACCTCATTGGTCCAATGCCTCCAGTTTGAGGGTTTTAAAATAATTCCATTTATCTAACCAGCAGCACAAAGAACTGGGAGCTCAGGGAAACCTGAGCAACAACACACACATACAGCTCTTGGGTAATTGACTAAATTTGGGTTAGTTAGCAACTGCTATTGAAATAATGATGTAGGATAAGCACTGGACTGCAAGGTTGGTTTGAACACCAAGGTTGGTGGTCCAAACTCACTGGTCCTCAGAAAACCTGTACAGAGTTACTATGATTTGGGACTGACCCAATGGGACTTAACAACAACAATTGAAGTAGAATATAATTAAACAATTTTGAATGCTTCAGTTTTAATTCTATTCAAATGACGCTGTGAAATTTGTGCTTTGTGAATGTCTACCAAAGGAAAAATCGGTATGAATGAGGCCGGCTGATGTTCTCAATTCACATTTTGGTGGTGGTGGTGGTGGTGGTATGCCACCGAGTCGGTTCCAACTCATAGCGAACCTGTATAGGGTTTCTGACGCTACAAAGCCTCATCTTTTCCCCAAGGAAGCCTCATCTTTCTCCTAAGGAGCAACTTGTACATTCAAACTGCTGACCTTGCAGTTAGCGCCCAACTCTTAATGCATTATATTACCAGGGCTCCTTAATTCATATTTTAATCGCATGTAACATTAATGTATTAAATAGTGTTCTGTAAACCAAAGATCCAAATCAATAAAACAGTCACAAGGCCTCAGAGCATACTGATTTCTGATCTAATCTGGAATATGTAGAAGTGTCTCTCCTCAGGTAAAAAGCAGGGCTATTCCAGCTCTCCAGCGTACATTCCCTTTCAGATTCCATGGAGGCTACATTTAGTCTCATTCTGCAGCTTTCATGGCTTTGACCAACCTGTGATTCGTCCAATGGTCCCATTGAACCTCCTCCCGGCCTCCCCGGAAGCATGGGCGCCCAGGCTGTGGCCAATAATATGGACATCAGATGGCGAGTACCCAAATGCCGACTGTTGGAAAGAAAGTCTCTTCAGAATATTTTCAAGCATTATAGGATTAAAGATGGGGAATCTCTGAAAACTCAAGTTATAAGAAGACATACTACCTCATCAAAGCAATTGTTTTCCATATTTTTTTCACAATATTTTGAAGAATGGAAATGAATTTCTTAAGCAATTGTAAGTGAAGCTTTGTTGTTTCATTTTACAATGTTGATAGAATCCTTGATAGATATGGGAAGAAGGAGGGATGATGAAGCAAGAATTTGGATCAGAAATTAAAAATGAAGCAATTATTTAAATATGTGCAAGTTTAATGTGACCTATATTTTTAATTCCCAAGTCAGGTTAACTTATTACCATTGCTCGTCTCTTTAAAAAAAACTGAGAACACAAAACTAGTTTAATCTTGAAGTTGACATTGTCATGTTGTGTCAACTTGGTTTGACAATCAGTAAAAATTGGAACAAATACTAGTGGATTTCAGCCAAAACAACCTATTTGGATGCTTGAGAAAAAATCACTTAACAAATATATTGATGATGTCCACCTCCATGTTTTTACATTTTTCTTTCAACCAAGGGGAACCTCAAATTTCAAAGGAGAAATGTCTTTATCAATGATCATAGTTAGGCATTAAAAACAAACAAACAAAGAGCAGGATTCAGAGAATGACGTATATGGATGCTTAGAAAGCCTGAGTAGTTTACCTGAAGAACTTCAACAAAATAGGCCATTTCTGCCCCCACAATGCGGATGTTCTGTGAGGCCTGTGTGTAGCCGGTTAGGGCCCCCTTTTTCCAATCCACACAGATGCAGTTCACACTTTCCACCTTAAACAGGTTCTGGTGAAAGAAACATACAATGAACAAGTAGTGCAGGGTCCTTCTTAGTTACTGACTTACGCATTGAAGGGCTAACATAAATTCCTACCTCAATCTACACAATATCATGTTCACTTTTAAGCCCGAAGCCATGAACAAAACCTTTAGTCTGGGCATGGAATTATTTCTGAAGTTTAACAGAAGTGAACTCCAAGCTGGGAGCCTGGTTGAGAATGAGAACTGGATTCTTGAGACATACACATGGGAATCTGATCCAAGAAAAAGTGTATAAAATGTGACATAGTATAAAATGGGTCTCATTAATATTGTTGCTAAATGCGATCAAGTCTATTCCTGCTCATAGCCTCCCTGTGTAGGGTTTCCAAGGAGTGGCTGGTGGGTTTGCACCACTGAACTTGCAGTTAGTAGTCCATGGCTTATCCTGCAGTGCCACACCAGGACTCAGACTATTGTAAATGTCATTAAGACTACATTGTTCTGCACTGGAATGTACACAAGGACAATGGATGCTTTTTACAATGACTGTATTGATGGAATGAATGAATGATTATGTTAAGACCCCTTTACTCAAGGTAAATGAGTCAGCTTTTCATGCTGGAAAGAGTAATGAAAGTTTTTGGATGAACATGTTTACTTTACATTATTGAGGATTTATTTTACATAAAGGTATAACTACTAGATAGCCACTGAAGGTCTTCTTTGATGGGGATCAGTTAGGGTTACAGAAACGTTAGCTATGTCGGGAATTCTGTTTCACGGGACTCACTGTTTACACAGGCTTCCCCCTTATTCCAGAAAGAATTTGAGAAAGACTAAGTCATTTTAGAAGCCCTCTCCAACTCCCTCATCATGCAGAAGGAAATATTCAAAGAGGGCGAATCATTTGCTAAAGTATTGGTTAAATAATGATGAGTCAAGCCTGAACTCCAGCATCTTTAGCATCCGAATTTAATCCACTTTACTTCTCTATTTGAATGCAGCAGCATTGTTAAAACCAGATCAAATGCAAGAAAACCCTGTCTGCTTTTGGGATTTTGGAAATAAATTGTACATAAATAGCTAAAAGCCTATATTTGTTTGGAGCTATGAATCACTTGTTTTTTTCTTAACTGTTAAATAGAATTCTATTCCTACCCTCCCAATAATGATCAGTTTTAAATTAGTTTTGAAGGTAGGTTATGGTTTTACTCTATGTCTAAACTGTCTGGTGTTGACTCAGTCCAGCTTTTGACTGGAGTATAGAGAGACCTCACCAGCCACTGCTTGGAAACTCTGTACAGGGTCACAATGGATTGGAACCGACTCGATGGCACTTAACAACAAGCACAGAGAAGGCCTGTAAGGAAAAGGTTTAGCATGACCTTTTAGTCCTTTTTCTTGAGGACTCTGTAAAAATGACTATGCCTTTGCATTACAGTTGGCTCCAAAAACTTGATGAATAAATGAGTAAGGACATGAATCAATGAATCAATAATAATGTTCCTCAAGCATTGGTAGCTACTAGGAAAATTTACTGTATTTGATTTTCTGTGTTTTAGTTCTTCATTATCACAGGGCACATTGCCAAAGGCAAATGAAATAGAATGGAATCACTGCTTATAACACATGTCAGAACAACAGAAATTGGAAATGAAAACCAATCCAGTTATCTGAGATATTGCTACCCTGGAAGAGCAAAGAGCAGCACATGAAAATTGAAGGAAAAGAATTGGTTTGGGCAAAATGATATAGCTTAGCCCCTCACATGAACATTAAAAGCTATTGAAAAAAACAAGGGCCTGTGATGAACTGCTAAGCATCAGTATGGCAGCAGCTACTGATAAAGGCTCTGGTAGTGTAGTGGTTATGAGTCGGGCTGCTAACCTCAAGTTCGAAACTACCAGCCATTCCACGGGAGAAAGATGAGTCTTTCTGCTCCCATAAAGATTTACATCCTTGGAAACCCAATGCAGGGTCTCTATGAGTTATAACCGACTCCACGGCACATAACCATCACCACCACTCCTCAGACCCACCAAATATCTGCCAACCCGAAGCTCAGGTTTCCTCCTTCAACCCCACTTCCTGGGAACTCCAGGCCCAGAAGGGTTTATAGGATCCTGTAGTAGTATGGGGTCTAGCCCTGGTCCTAACTGGTTGGGAATCTGTGCCTTACCATTTGTTAAATATCGTTCCAGAAGCATCCTTGCTTTAAGAGATCACCATGTCTCACCTTGCACATGTTGGCCAACCAGCTTTCTTCTCCCTTGTCTACGAATCCATGAGTAATAAAGCGTGTTTTTCTATCGGTTCTGAAATTGGAGGCCGCGATGGTTTCTGGGTCTGCAATTAGTTCCTGTTGTAGGGAAGAAAAGTGCTTAATGCCAAGTTTCTTACACTTAATATTCAATACATTTTAACGTGCTTAATGCCAAGTTTCTTACACTTAATATTCAATACATTTTTTACACATGAAGGGAAGTGGTAGATGGGAACAGATTGCCAGGATTTGAGATTCTGCTAAGGATCCTTCTACTACAGCTAAGCCACTCACAATCATCGCCAAGTTGCTACTCTGTAACCACCAGAGAGATTCCAGTGTTTCACTTGGAATACCAGGCCTAATATATAAACGGCACTATGGAGGTGGGCCATGAATAATATCAAATGATGGGCCTTTTATAAACATTTGACATTAAAAAAATACTTATGCTCCTGGTCCCAATAAGTTTACAAAGATGCATATTCTGTTGTCTGATTTTTCTCAGGACAGAAAATAGAAGAAGCTTAATTTTAAAGACCATGAATGCTCTTACTTGAAAGTTGTTTTGGTTCTCATTGGTGTACATGAGGAATCGGGTGTTGACATCTTTTGGAGCCCATGGCAGGATTTTGAGAGGTCTTTCTACAATTCCTGCCCACGGTGAGTCATCAGTGAAGCAGCCAAGTCTTGGGAAGCAGACTTCCTTTCCTGCAACCATCCAGAATATTCCAAGGCTATAAGTTTAACCAGAACACTTTCTTTCTTTCTTTGTTTTTTTTTTTAATTTAATAGCCTCTCTGCTGAGGTATAAGTTAAATTACAGTTGTGGCAAAATTTCTTCCTCCGTTTCCTCAAATGCCACCTATCCACGCACCCACAAAGCAACTTCCAAAGACAATGTCCTTGATAAGCACAGGTCTGCTCTCCTCAATTCTAGCATGCATGGCTACCTTTGCTCTGCTCAGTGCCATGCAAGACCTGTTTTGGTCTTTCAACTCGGGTGTCTTTCTTGGACCATTAGTGACTTAAGAAAGGCCTTGGGTCCCTAGTCTCATAAAAGAAACGAAGATATCACGTCCTTTTAGCCACTTCTGGCTATGAACTTCGGATGAAGAGCTCAAATTTCATGCAAGGGTGTAAACTTTAAATCTCCAGTCTGACTGAGCAGTTTGATCTCTGACCTGTGTTTGATTCCTGTGATGGAGAAGCTGTTTGCAAACAAACAAGTGAACACCCCTGGTTTGACAAAATTCTCGGCTTGAATGTTACCATACAGAAACAACTCAAAGGAAGGTGTCTTAAGAGGGATAAAATCGAGAGTAATTAGAGTAGGAATCATAACTGCAGTAGGGGCTACATTTATTGAGATCTTACTAGACCAGGCACTGGGTGAAATGATTTACCTGTTTCACCTCATCTAAGTCCTATAACAACCCTGTGGGAGGAAAAGTATGATTATCCAATTCCGCAGATGTAGACACTGAAGGACAGAAAGGTTAAGAATTTCACTTGTTGGTAATGCATTTGTAGGTGGTAGAGTTGGAGTTTCAACCCCACCCTTGACTCCAAACTATGACTGCCATATTTAACAAATGAAATATAAAATACGCAATTAAATTTGAATTCCACATAAATAGCAACATTTTCAAGTATAAACATATCCTGTATTTGTTGATTATCTGAAATATTTGTTGTTTCTTTGAAATTCAAATTTACCTGGGCATCCAAGATTTTATCCAGTAGCTCTACTCACGCACTTGTGTCCCATAGGTGTACCCTCTTTTTCACTCTACTCCTTAGCCTCAGGGTGACTTGAATTGATCTGTTGTAACCCTTTCTGAAAGCACTGAGTGTCTCCCAAATAAAAAAATAGAACAAAACAAAACAAAAAAACCCAAACCCAAACCCGTTGCTGTAGAGTTGATTCCAACTCATATCGACCCAATAGGACAGCAAAGAATGGTCCCACAGGGCTTCCGAGGCTGTAATCTTTATGGAGGAAGGCCACCGCATCCTTCTCCCACAGAGCTTTCAACCCACCAAGCTTTGGGTTAGTACCCAAGTTCTTTAAGCACTGGACCACCAGGGTTATTTTTCTTACCTGCCACTGCTCCCAGCAGTGTCAAGAAGGTCCAAATTAGCTGCATCTAAATAAAGTTTAAAATGTGAGTGAGTCTTGGTTAAATCATCGTTTAAAGAGATTAGAATAATCTAGTTCAGTTAGACCCAAATTCAGTTGCATTCTAATACAAGGCCTGGAATACATGTTCCTGACTCACCATGCCAGTTACAGCCAGCCCTGCCCACAACCAGATAGCACCGAAAGGGCCTTTTATAGGCAACCCTTATCTTTCCTAGTAGTCCTGTGGAAAAGTAGCATGAAAAGAGAAAAGGTTCCAAGGATGTATTTATAATTTTGATCATAGATAAGTCCAGATTAACAGAAAAGGGAAAGTTTTCCACAGTCTGTATGGGAAAATGACAAAGGGGTCGATATGAAACATTCTCTTCCAATTTTTGGATTGCACCTTATTCAGAGTCATCACAATGACATTGTCGTGAAGGTTCCACTCTGCCTCTATTTTAGCCGACCCTTCTCTTGGCATGTCTGTGGTCATGTGTGAAATGAAGTTGTTTCTACAGATTTGATAACAGCAGTCTTGAAACCAAGTACTAAAGGCTTACCAACTAATGCTCTTTGTGAGTAACCTGGCCATACCCTCAAAAGCAATGAAATAGAGGCAATTCTTCAAGAAAGTTCTTTCCTTCTAGGAAAGGAGTTGATATTTTATTTTGATCATCCATAGAAGGAATTTATTTCTCAACAAGAACATGGAGGAGAGAGTCCGTGAACTGACAAAGGAAGGGGAGGTGTTACCAGGAGCACAGAAGTGGAACCAGTGACCCCCACAACCAGACGAAACTGTGAACATGAGAGAAAAACAACATCCAATTTTTTGGGGAAAAACATTTTCAGACTTCATCGGAAAGAGAAGTGTTTGATAGAAAAGAAGTGGGATGTTTTTAGTTTGTGATGGAGTGATTAAAATCAAATTTAAATTCAGTGTAATAGGATAAGGATCCTGGGAGCACAGTGCTTAAAGCACTTGGCTGCTAACCAAAGGTCAACAGTTCAAAGGCTCCATTTGCTGAGAGGAAGAAAGATGTAGCATTGTTGCTTCCATAACAATTTACAGCCTTGGAAACCATATGGGGCAGCCCTACTCTCTCTTATGGTGTTGCTACGTGTTCAAATCCACATGACTGCAGGTTTGTTTGAGACCGTTGTTATCACCACTGCGCCAATCCATATAGTTTGTGTCTTCCTTTTGTTTGCTGACCCCCTACTTTACCAAGCATAATGCCCTTCCCCAGAGACTAGTCCCTCTTGATAATATGTTCCTAGTATGAGGAATGAAGTCTGGCCATCCTGGCTTCTAAGAGAGCATTGTGACTGTACTTCTTCTAACACAGATTTGTTAGTTCTCTGACAGCCCATGGTACTTTTAATATTCTTCTCCCACACCAGAACTCAAATGCATCAATTCTTTTAGTGTCTTCCTTATTCATTATCCACTTTCACATGCATATGAAGCTATTGAAAATGCCAAGGCTTGGGTCAGGCATATCTTAGTAGTAGTCCAGCGCAAACTATATATACCACCTGCCATCAATCGAGTTGATTACATCTCATAGTGCCTTTATGGTGGTGGTGGTGTGCCGTGGATTCAGTGCTGATTTATAGTGACTCTGCATAGAGTTTCTGAGACTGTAAATCTTTATAGAAGCAGAAAACCTCATCTTTCTCCTGAGGAACAGCTGGTAGTTTGGGACCACTAAACTTGAGGTTAGCAGCATGACTTGTAACCACTATGCTACCAGAGCTCCTTAGTGACTTTATTTGTTGTTGTTGTTAAGTGTTGTCAAGTCAATTCCGATCCACAGAGACTCTGTATAGAGTTTCCAAGGAGCAACTGGAGAGCTTGAACTGCCGACCTTGCAATTCAAAGGACTTTGCAGTCTGGTGCATTAACCCACAGCACCACACCAGTGACTTTATAGGACAGAATAAAATTGCCTTTTTGAGTTTCTGAGGCTGTAAATCTTTGTGGGAACACACAAGCCACCGTTCTTCTGCGGAGTGAATGGTGGTTTTGAACTGCCAATAGTGGGGTTAGCAGTTCAACACTTACCCCTTACCCCACCAGCACTCCTTTGGTTTGATACATGTTGTTTTAAATTCCATTGAGTCGGTTCCGACTCATATCAACCCTGTGTAGTGTTTCTGAGGAGCAGCTGGTGGGTGTGAACTGCCAGCATTGCGGTTAGCAGTCCAGTGTTTATCCTACAGTGCCACAACAGGACTTCATAGCAAGTCCTTAATACATCAGTGTTGAATGAATAAACAAATAAATGAGAGAATGAATATGTAATTTATTTTGCATAGTTGTTGTAGTAACAATCATTTACAAAATCTTACAGAAAATCATGGTAGATTTAAGAAGATTCTTTTACTCAAAGCCAGCAAAAATCCAGAAACTTCTAAGATGTCTGTATGGTGTTTGGTCGTGCAGTTCTGTATTGCCCCAACAGTCAGAATTCACAGGAGCCGGTCTCCACTCTGGGCTTTATCATGAAGTAACTTACATTTTGTGTGAATTACCAAATATTTACATAAGATTTCTAAGATGACATTTTCTTTACTTTTTCTAACATTTTACTGTGAAATCGAGTGAAGGTTTACAGTGCAGTCACACACTTCCTCTCATCTCAATGACTACAATCCCCTCCATGTAGCATCAGTGATCCCACGTCCTTCCTATGATTCTTGTTTCCATTTCTCCATTTGTTCCCAGCCCTTCTGAATTTTGTCGCTAGGTAAATGCTGCCCTTTTGATCTCAAATGATTGATTGTTCCATGGTGTGCATACGTCACTAGTGTTGTTGTTCCCCCATATACCTATCTATTGCTTGGCTGAAAACTAAGCCACAGGGTGAATTCAGTTCCATACTTGAAGAGTGACCAAAGGACATAGTCTCAAATTCCTCCAATCTCTTTCTGACCAAAGAGTCCGGTCTTTTTTTTTTTTATGATTTTGAGTTTTGTTCCACCTTTTCCCCGACTCTAGAACCTTCTAATCAGATCCCTTTCCGAGCAGTTGGTAGTGGTAGTAGGGCACCATCTAGTTCTTCTGGTTTCGGGGTCATGGAGACTGATGGCCACATGGTCCATTAGTCCATTGGACTCATTGTTTCCAAGCATCTTCGTTTTCATCACTCTTCTTTCCTCTGCACAAGGAGACACCAATAGCTGTATCTTAGATGGCCACTTGGGAACTTTTAAGACCCCAGTCACTACTTACCAAAGTAGAATGTTAACATTGTGTTTGTAGACCAGGATACGCCAACTGGTCATAGTGTCTAAGGTGACGTTTTAGATGGTATAAAATTTAACTTAAAAGTAGAGTAACTTTTGTTGAATTAATGACAAAAGCCACCACATTCTGGAACAAAGACTAGAACCATTGGGGATTAATTCTGTAAACTGAGCTAAGTTCAAATTTTAGAAGGTTTCAGGAAGATTCAATTTCTCAAACTCTTATAAAAGCAAAGAAGGACATGGTTAGAGTCAACAGTCTAGCTTGTCAGATCTGGATGAACGACTTCCCCTAAATTCAACTGTGATGAACGCTTTAGCTAGTCTGCGACATTTTAGATACCAGACTTCCATCTTAATCACTGTCATACTACATAGGAATGTCTGTTTGCAGCGCAGGTGGCATGGATGGTTGCCCTCTTCTTGCAGAGAATAGAACTCTGCTCTCCAACCTACCTTTCAGATCAGTGGGACCACATGACCAGCTTCTGGCCAATGAGATGTGAGTGGAAGGGATGAGCATCGGTTCATTCCCATTATGCTCATTGTTGTTAATTAGGACTTCTGGTGTGGTGCTGCCGGTTAAGGTGCTGCACTGCAAGGTCTCTGGTTCAATCTCACCATACGCTCCTCGGAATCCTTATACAGAGTTACCGTGAGTCAGAACTGACTTGACAGCACTTAACAACAAAAACAACAACACTCCAAATGTCTTCCCTTCTTCAGCCAGATGCAGTGACGTTGCAGGCTGTGTATTGAAGTTATCAGAGCTGCAAGATGAATGGAACCTGGGTCCCCTATTTGGAAGAAAACGGCCCATCAACCACCAGCACTCATTTGGACTTTACATGAACAAGAAATACACATCTTTTATTTTAAGTCATTGAGATTTTAAGGTTATCGCAATTGGTGGTGGTAGTGTGCCATGGAGTCACTTCAGACTCATAGTAACCCTGCATAGGATTACAGGAGCAGAAAGTCTCATCTTTCTCCCACAGAACAGCTGACAGATTGGAGCTGCTGACCTTGAGGTTAGCAGCCCGACTCATAATATGCTATCAGAGCTGCCTTAACTAATATGTTGTTAAATTGTTAAGTGCCATCAAGCTGCTTGAGACTCATAGGGACCCAGTATAGGATTTCCCAGGAGAGGCTAGTGGGTTTGAACTGCTGACCTTGTGGCTCAGTCCAGCATTTTATTTTGTAGCACTACACCGGACTAATCTAGAGGATTTTAATCAATAGTTCAGGTACCAAAGAGCCAAATGTGGGTTGTGAATTTCATCTTGTGACTTGGATGGTACTGTGCCTAATGCTATAGACTTGGACTGATTTCTTTTGAATACTTTATTTTTAAAATCTCCTTTCTTACAACCCACCCAAGTGGTGAGATTCCTTGCTCAATTCTTCAGTACATTTTGGTAGGGTTTCAGTTTTATCGGATTTCATAAGTTACACAGGTGATCTGCAGCCGTATGCTACTCACTCCAGGGTTCAGTAAAGGTCTGAGTCCCTAGACATAGTTCATGCGATGTTGGCGTAACTCCGTGTGTTGCGCATGCAGATACTCAAGTAGCGCCGGTGGATGGATCGGAGATATTACCTGCTCTCTATCAGCCTCTGTTGCTTCCCATATCTGAAGGGACTGCAGGTAGAGTAAGGGCCCTACAAAGCATGAGAGAGCCATGCTAGCCCACCCACAATTACCTCATGTCATTGAAAGCTGAGGTGAGCTCCCATCTGAAACTAGTCCTATATCTCCTCAATTCA